AAAACAGCCTAACCCCAGTAGTTATAACGCCGAGTGCCAGACCACCAGGGGGCAAGTGTGTGTAGCACCTTCGACCCCGAAATGAAGGTCGCCACGCAAAACCGGGCGCTAGGAGAGGTGAACTGAAGGCTGAGACAACGGAGGCCGAGCCTGAGTGGGCGCCCGCGCGCCCCCACGCAGGCAAGCCTCTGTCTTTCGGCCCACTCCGGCGATCGTCCGTGGGCGACCGCCAACAACACGAAGCCTAATCAATTCCCTCACCACCCGACCCCCCTCTAGGGACAGCAGCGCGCTTCTCATCCCGGAGAGGGAAGGAGGGGGGGGGGGGGGGAGATCAGAGAGCCAAGGCACGGGAGTACCCCCGACGGACGCGAGTTGGAGGGAAAGCGAGACGAGAGATTCAAGGCGAACTTCATCACCCGTCCAGGAGCCCCGCATTAGGTAGCGACCCCAGGTTCAGAGCTAGGCTTCCCGACAGGGCAGGGAACCCCCAGCGCGCAGGCGGGGCCCACGGTAGCCTCGTGCAGTACGCGATACCGAGAGCTGGGGGAGAGGCGCGCCACGCCAAGGGGGACAAGTGACGGGGGGGGGAGAGTAGTGTCTTTCGCAGGTAAAACGCAATTTTTTTTTTCAGCGTGCGACGTGAGCAATCCAGGGTGTTGTGCCAACGGTATTGAGTGCACATTTATCTTTTATGTTTTATTTATGTTGTGTGCATGCGCATGTGCGCACTGGTGGATGCACACAGCTACACAGCACCTCACACGACAGCCATACTGTATACGCCGACCGAGGACCGCTCACATCACACCACACAGACACGGAGCGAGCTTCTCTCACCTGAGGCGCTCACACGTGCGGTGGCGGCTTCGGGTCGTATCCGTGCGCCATCAGGGCGTGTTCCCTATCCATGTATAAACCCCGGACGCATGTGCACACGTATTTCCTGCACCGGATCGACACGCCGACGCGCGATGCAAGCGTCGTCCGTGTTCCGCTCTCGCCGCGGCCGTCACCACGCTCCGCTAATGTTGCTCACGTCGCCGCGTCGCGCGAAAGTCGTCTACGCCTTTTTCTTCTTCGCCGAGCCCTTGGCCCTCTTTTCTTGGGCCGGCGCCGCTGCGGACGTGTCGGCGGTGGATGCTCTGCTCGCGAATAGTGTCCCATTCCGGAATTTGCCGAGGAGCACGCCGGCTGCAAACCACGTAATCAATATCAGCCACGTCGTTGGATTGGCGATGTTCTCGTAATCGGTGAACCACTCGAGTTTGGAGGCGATCTGCGTCTTGGATTGGCGCA